CAGCCAATCGGAAACAAGAGCTTCATCCCACGTGACGAAAGAGTCATCTGTGTCCCATGCTACGAAAGTAAATATGCACAGAGGTGCAGCAAGTGCGGTGATGTAAGTCAATTAACACATCTACACTTGTGGCTGAGATTGGTGTGCTGGTGAAGTTAGGTGGTGAATGGAGTCAAAAAGATACACAGTACCCGCTTCCGTTTTTTTTTTTTTGGCTAAGATTAGCTGAATTGTCCTCTTGGATATTTCAGTTATATATTTGGCTATTGTAGACACACTTACCTCTTTGTAAGTAAGCCTACAAATTGCATTTAACGCTTAAAGTTTGTCGCAAGCCATAGCAAGAATAACTCATTAAGTTTTGATTAGTTACTCATCATTAGTATCTTGAAACATGTACATTTAAATAAACTGACTAAATTGATCTGTTCATTGAAAAGTTGTTTAGCTAGCTTGTCAGTTGCCATTTGGTCTTCAGAAAAACTTAAAACACACACACACACACAAAGAGTTGTTTGATAAACTTAATTGACAAAATGCTTAAATAAATAGAGAGAAAATTAAATGTTGAAAACATAACAAATTATAGGATTGAAGGCTTCCATGGTCTCTAGAGGCTAAGTATGCTTTAACTTGGCTTTTGGTTACCTATGAAGGGGACTCGACACCCAACTCTGGCAGCATGGAAAACTTACTCCTAGATACCGCCTCCCTCCACTGGTCCACAAAAGCTATAAGCTTGAAAATAGCGCTATATAAAAGTAATAATTATTATAAGGCTGGCCAGCAGAGGAGGCTTTAGGTGGGGACGAGCGGGGCAACCACCACAGGCCTCACCCCTCAGTGGGGTGCCCAACAATAATGAGAATCTTTGTCACTATTGGCCCATTGCACAAATATTCATAGCCCTGAAATGACAGTCGCCCAGACAGAGCCCAGCACACTGCTAAGGCTTTTGCTGTTGGCAGAAGAAAGCAACATTGGGGCTCTATTTTATGGAAGGAAGTTTTGAAGCAATAAGGTCAAGCCCTTTTTAGATCTGTAGTAGACAAAAGGATTGATAGAAATAGGTTAGATTTATAAATGAACCTTTTGTTTTAAGGCCAAAGTTTTTAATGATAAATTCTCATCTCTGGAAAGGGCGGAAGAGGAAGATCAACTGACAATTGTGGGCATGACAAAAAATTTGTGTCTGTTAATAAAAGCATTAGAGGAGAAAAAAAGAGGAAGGAGCAAAGAGTAGTTTGAGAGTTACAACAAAAGCTGACTGAGGGGTTTCTTGTCATTAGTAAGTTTGAAAAGGACAGTGCTATAAGATAGAGGTTCTTAAGCGTCATAACACTATTACTTGAAAGAAGTTACTAAATTGAGTGTCTTGATACAATTAGGCCTACTTGTTAGAAGTTGTTACTTAATGGAGTGTCATGACACAATTAGGCCTACTTATTAGAAGTTGTTACTAAATTGAGTGTCCTGACACAATTAGGACTACTTGTTAGAAGTCATTACTAAAAACGTTTGGGATGTCTGTTTGTAAATGTATTGATTCTTGCAAAACTCAAATTGATTTGTTTTTTTTTAAAATGTCACAACCAATTTTAACACAAATAACCTCAAAACACATATATTGTTTAACAGCATAGTTCTTGTGAAAGTTCTGGGTGATATCTGGGAAGTGGGGAAGAATCTGAGAGAGTTAATTGGGAAAAAGTATAAATAAATATATTTACAATAAATTTTTTATATTTTATAGTAAATATATTTACAATTGTAAATATTTTAATTATAAATAAGCTGGTTTTCAATACTTATCTTGTAACTTATATAGGTTTTATCGACCCTTCTTATTTATTGGGATGGAAGCGTCATCACTATATTATCCAAACTGGACCCATCTGTAACTTACTACACCACTGTTATTTTCATGCAATCTTAATTATATAGCATAGTAAGGTTCATTGCTACTATTTAATGATATCTTTCATTTTTCAGGTGATCAACAAGGGTGGCATCAGCTACAAGAACACGCCCTGGCACAGGGAGTGCTTCACTTGCACCAACTGTAACAAGCAGCTGGCTGGGGAGAAGTTTACCTCCAAGGAAGAGCACCCTTACTGCGGTGACTGCTATGGTGAATTGTTTGCCAAGAGGTGCTGCAGGTGCACTAAGCCCATAACCGGTGAGTTGTTTTGTGGTTAAAGCTTGTACAAGTTAATAATTTTTTTTTTCAATTTAAAAATACATTTTTCTTTATGTAATTGATGGATAACAAATGTTTAAAGCATTGAGAGATCACTTTCATGTGCCAATATCACAAACAAAGATTCTGATTCTTGGCCACCAAAAACCAAGGTTCTAGAGACAAACAAAGATTCTGATTCTTGGCCACCAAAACCCAATGTTCTAGAGACGAGGAAGCATCCACTATGAAAATGAGGGGAGGCGGTAGGAAGTAAATGTTAAGAACTCAATCCTGGCATCCTGACACTTTTGTATGGCGCTTTCCCATACAACCTGGACAAGACAGACATATCTATATTGTACATCTATTTGCGTGCCATGTCCTCAGCATCCAAAAAATACTACCATTCCTTCCTAATGATTCTTTTCTATTTTTAGGTATTGGTGGCACCAAGTTCATCTCCTTCGAGGAGCGACACTGGCACAGCGACTGCTTCAACTGCTACAAGTGTGATGCCAGCATGGTGGGAAGAGGTTTCCTCATGAACGGCGAGGACATCGTGTGCCCTGAATGTGGTCGCAGTTAAGCCCCTACATACAGTTAGGATACAAAGTTAACGTTTTAAAATATATTATTTATCAATTCTTTATAGGCTTAATTTCATTCAGTTGTTTTTTTTTAATTCAATAAATAGCTTTATTCTTCCTATAACGAGCCTTTAAATTATTTTTTTTAAGTGTCAATTCAAGATTACTTGTGTATAAATTTAGCATTACTTAAAAGCCTTAACCCCCGCAATATATAATTAATAGTAATTTGTAGATAGTCCATGGCAGTGTATATATTTATTTGTATTTTTTATGTTATCTTCAGCTTTAATTAATAATAAAAATATATATAGTTTTGCAACAAAAAAACAACAACATTTATTTATAGGTTCTAACAATTTGAATAAATAATCAAAATTATAACCTTTGTTCCCTAAAGCTAATAAATTAAATGCTGAAGAAATGCCTTTCAATACATTGAAAACAAAACCAATACACTCAAAATAAAGACCATTTATATATCAGTTTTGTAATCATATCAATGTTAATTATTTTAATTTCCAAACCAAACTTTCTTTATTGAAGTTATATATTTATATATATATTTTTTAGATATATTCCGAATAATTTAGATGTTTATCTTTATTTAAGAAAACAAACATTTCTTGTGCTGTATTCCTTTTATATGAAGACATGTTGATGAATGCCTATAGAAATGAATGGCTTTACCACAATGTACTGAAGCTTAATTGAAATTACACAGCACTTGTGTGTGATCTTGTCTTTGTTATTTGTTGCTGGTGCAGTTAATTTATTATGCAAACTTTATGATTGGCCAGATTTCTGACCTTTCATCAACTAAAATCTGATGCAACTCAACACACACTTTAAAAAAAAAAGATTACTAGGCATTCATTTTCCATTTACACTTCTGTATGATGATTTTACAATTTTTATTATACATAGGTAGTTGAATTTATTTTTAGTAAATCCTATACTCTTTGAGAGTGCATTTAAACTATTTAGTTGTTTTTTTACAGTGTACATTTTTTATAATGTAAAATAAAATTACTGTACTTGTTTTTAATAGAATTAAATAAAAATAATCAAAATGTACATTCTTATACAAAGATTTGTTCCATTGTCTGTGTAAATTTTTTGAGAATTTTTTAAGCACAATAGCAAATCTGATCAGTATAGTATATGCAGAGAATGTTGAAATGCATTAACTTTATTAAAATACCAATGTCAGATATCAAAATTGTTGACATCTTGGTCTGTACAAGTAAAATGTATAATTTTCATGTAAGATAATATTAGAAAGTGTTTTTGGTCTTAAATCATGAGCTTAATCAATTTTTAAAAAGTTTTTAAAAATCCTATAAAGAAATTATACACATCACTAAGATATATTTTTGTATTTGGACAAATGATGCAGTGGTTTTAGTTTTAAATTTTTTTTTTAATGACTGATGCTTTTTTTCCAGAAATCAGTATTACCTTTTTATGATGAGACTGGTTTTTGGGGTAAGGAAGTGTGATTAATATCTCTTGTCATTCTACACGTCTGGTCAATGCTATGTAATAAATAGAAATATTATTGTTAATGGATTCCTTCTAACATAAAGGATTTGAGTCTGTAAATCTTAATTCTCAGTTGAAAGAATTAAAGGGGAATAAAAACATAGAGCCAAAAAAGAAAATGCAGTTGTCAAGACATTTACTGATTTAAGTGACTTGTTGGCATACTGCCTTATTCAAGGGATTAAGAACTGCAGAGCTGTAAAACTTCTATTTCCTTGTGATGTAACTAATGTCAAGTAGCTGGTGCTTTTTTTTTCTACACACTATACTCTTCTTTGTGATTGTTTTTTTCTTCTTTTTGCTCCACTAATACAAGATGTAAAGTTTACTGTAACTACCTTTTTTTGTTTGTACATTTTTGTTTTAATTTGTGTTGTAAAAAGCAAATAACAAGGATTTCTTTGTTTTAATTATTATTGAAAAAATCTTACAATGTTTTGATTTGTGAAATATTGGGAGTAATTAGAATATTCATTTGGTGTGTCTTCCAAAATTAGTTTGCTATTATATAGAATATACCTTAGTCACACACCCCAATGTACGGTTTGTTATTCAGAGATAAGATAGTAGTTTAATTATGTCACCAAAAATGTGCAGTACTCATTTCATCTTTGTGTGCATGTAGAGAGAGCATCTTTATTTAGTTCATAGAGTTCTGTATTTTTTTATACTACACTAGTTCATTTGTTCAGAGAGGTCTGAATTATGTTGGTTCATTTATTATGCTTGAAGTATGTTCCAATGTATATTATTACTATAGCATTTTGTTTATGGTTTGTTTTTAAACTCTTTGAACTCAGTGTCAGTCAGCTTGATCAGTTTGTAGAGATAGGTTTGAGATCAAATAAACTTGATGATAAAACTACATGTGTGTTCAAGTCATGAATTCTTAATTTAATGATATGGATTTATACATAGCCTGATGTTGTCCATAATAAAAATGGGAAGGACTGCTCAATAAACCTATAATGAACATTTATTTAATACATCAATGGGGCATTAAATTCATGACTTGGTGTCAAAATTCTAACACACATTGAGAGTGAGTGGCCTGAACAGTATTGCAATGAAAAACCCAAGAAAGTCTATTGTAATTTATTGTTGAAATTTTACATGGTTTTATGAGCCTATTATAAGCACAGTTAATAAATCAGACTTTGTCACATCTCTACTAAAGCTACACTATTCATGTCAACATTTTGGTAAAAAGAAATTGTCAGGCTTGTAAGATGAACATGTCCTCTCCCCCATATCACCTGATGAGCTCCTTCATGAAGGAACATTTTTTGCTCATTTAGATCTTAATGAGACAAACACACACAAAATGTACAATTTTGACTTGAAATGTTATTTTATCTACATGCTGGTTAAATACATTTTATAAAACAAATTCATGAGCATGGGTCTTTGTTAAGGTGCAATACAAAGTATTAGACTGTATATTCTACTGAAGACCTGGGTCCCTACTGAAGACCTGGGTCTATTTTCTGTAATGTATTATTCAGTAATGAGGCAACAAACCTAGTTCCACTATTTATATGTAGAGTGTACCATTTGAACCAAGAGGACTCCAGTTATCTTTGATATTCACTTTCCATTTCAGACTCTAGAAGAAACACTTTTGGACATGATGGTCTTAGGCAGTGTGTCCCAAAAGTGGGTTATGGGTACCCCCAAATGTACTCGTTGCACCTTGTTAACTATGCAGATTTTTAAAATTAGCCAGTTACTATGTTATGTTAATAAATAAAAGTGTGATGGGGGGGGGGGGGGGGGGGTTTACTCAGCATTATAAAAATTATAAAAGGGGTACACATAGGTCAAAAGTTTGGGAAACACTGATCTAAGAAACAAAATGTAATACTGATAAATAAAGGAAGTAAAGTTCCTCTTTCAGACCTTGCAATTTATGGGGAAGATGATTTTAAGATCATCTGTTTCTTAGGCCAACAGTTAATGAGAAGGGTGTCATGTGGCCAGCACAATGACCAACCACCTTTACTTTCCCCTACGGAAGTCAGGTACCCATTAGAGTTGGGTGAACTCATGGGCGCCTAAAAAAATCCACAAATTAAAAATCAGTCTTCACTGATATTCAAACCCAGGACCTCAGGTTCGGAAGCCAAGCGCTTAATCACTCAGCCACCCGCACCTATACTGATGAATACAAGTAAGAAACTTGCTCAGATATACTAAATGTAAAATTGACAAATACAAGTACTCAGGATACTAAGAAAATTAAGACATTGCATATTATTTTTTAAATACATTTTATTAATTTTCTCATAAAGACAGAAACAAATGTGTATGGATCTGCAAACAGTAATGTGCAAAAACAGACATGAAAAGTCTTTCAGACAATTAACAACACCGTCTTTGAACACAATGCCTTCCATTCATCCTACCAGTCAGATCATCTGTTTACATTTTCTTTCGAACCCTGCTACCATTGTCTCACTGACATTCTGACATACTTCCTAAAATAATTTCATTTCACAAGACTTGACTTGCATAACACACTTTCAAAACAAAGTTCAATCACACTGGTAGTGTCCTCTAGAAAGATATCTGAGCAATGTAATACTATATACATTAACTAATCATCAGGTCAACTAAAGCATTAAGAGATGGCTGAAGTTTTCTTTCTTTTGAAGTAACTTGGTGTTGCTTCGTACAGCCAGTCTGGATCAACTACACTCAGAGTCCTGCACATGTAAAAATACAAACAAAACAAAAAGATTATACTTTTAGGGCAAGGTTATTTCCCTTTCAAGACCAAATTATATCCTCTATTAATGGTACCTCACCATATCTGAAGGTAGAGTCTCAATATGAACCCTGAATGTCTCAATATGAACCCTGAATGTCTCAATAAGAACCCTGAATGTCTCTATATGAACCCTGAATGTCTCTATATGAACCCTGAATGTCTCATTATGAACCCTGAATGTCTCATTATGAACCCTGAATGTCTCTATATGAACCCTGAATGTCTCAATATGAACCCTGAATGAACCCTGAATGTCTCATTATGAACCCTGAATGTCTCTATATGAACCCTGAATGTCTCAATATGAACCCTGAATGTCTCTATATGAACCCTGAATGTCTCAATATGAACCCTGAATGTCTCTATATGAACCCTGAATGTCTCAATATGAACCCTGAATGTGGCTTACGGAAGATTTAAGGGTTGAAAGACCATGAAAAGGAAACCCCTTGAGCTTCAAGAGGGAGGGAAAATGCCTTGTGGGCTTAATCTCTAGACCAACTGACAATGTCATCATGACATCACATAATATAAGCATGTGGCACCCTGGTGGTGACACATGGGTACCAAGTCAGACAAGTGTAACTGGTAATAGCTTTCCAGGCTCTCTGGCCTGCCCATACATTGAGCAGCCTGAAAGCCTTCATTATGCTCAAAAAAATTCAAGTAGAAAAAATGGTTAGAGAGTTGGGACAAATTCTAAAAAGCCTGCATGTGGAGTCTGCAGGTAGAGCCTAGGAACATAAGAGGCTTGACATGTACAGACATTGTGCAAAAACAGAATCTAAATCAACCACTGGTGGGCAATGGTTATGTCTGGGCAGGATGTGGCAAAATATGCAGCTCAAAGCCGGGGAATGCATATTGACATGACTACTTATTAATCTCTGGACTTGAATACAAGCCTTATTAATCTCCAAGCTATGATTAGTTAGTATTCACCAAATCAGAAGTTAAAGCATATTTTTTTAATGGAACAAATCCAGAAATTATAGTAATAAATCAATAAGTAACTAATTCAAAGCAATGGGATGAGTTTACATGGGAGGATGACCACAAAAGTGAGGAGGATGAGTACACAAGTTGGGGAGGATGAGTACACAAGTTGGGAGATATCATGACTTGTGCCTGCTGGACACACTGACCTCATGTAACATTTCGTTGTTTTGACCAACTCTGTGAAGACCACACACGCAGGTTTACATTGGAACAAAGCTGAAGATGGGTGGATAGACACTTTGGTTCTGGTGGTCATCTGAAGAGATAAAAATATACCAATTAGTAGACAAGAATCATTAGTTGGCTCCCCAGTAACTTCAATGTTCCGTAAGTTGATTGTTTAGTACTTGAAACTATTTCCTTATCTTGATATATTGCTTTTCTTTTGCTGAAGACTATTTTCATGCCTCTACAACATGCTCAGACTGTCTTAGTCCAAGCTCTGTTGGGAACATTTTGAATTCTACATTCGAACCCCCATCAGTTTTATAGCCAAGCAATTTATATCACCAAGTCACATATTAAACCATATAGAATTAAAAGTAGAAAACGTTTTGCCGATAGCATATTTTAAGTAATACATCTTTAAAACAAAAAAGGATTGATCTTGATCTTTTAGACACCCTGTGATTCCACAATAAAAAAAAAGTGATTCTTTTTGGAACAAAATTAAACAAGAGTACTCACTGTGAGGAAATCTCCTTCTTTGGACAACTCGGCAGCATTCATGAAGAAACCAGCAGCAAGACATTTTCTGAAACAAGACATTACAATATGATCAGTCAGATGTCGAGATATTACAATATGATCAGTAAGATGTCAAAACATTACAATATGATCAGTCAGATGTCAAAACATTACAATATGATATGATCAATCAGATGTCGAGACATTACAATATAATCAGCCAGATGTCAAAACATTACAATATGATCAGTCAAATGTGAAGACATTACAACATGATCAGTCAAATGTGAAGACATTACAACATGATCAGTCAAATATGAAGACATTACAATATGATCAGTCAGATGTCAAAACATTACAATATGATATGATCAATCAGATGTCGAGACATTACAATATGATCAGTCAAATGTGAAGACATTACAACATGATCAGTCAAATGTGAAGACATTACAACATGATCAGTCAAATATGAAGACATTACAATATGATCAGTCAGATGTCAAAACATTACAATATGATATGATCAATCAGATGTCGAGACATTACAATATGATCAGTCAGATGTCAAAACATTACAACATGATCAGTCAGATGTCAAAACATTACCATATGATCAGTCAAATGTGAAGACATTACAATATGATCAGTCAAATGTGAAGACATTAAAATATGATCAGTCAAATGTGAAGACATTACAATATGATCAGTCAAATGTGAAGACATTACAATATGATCAGTCAAATGTGAAGACATTACAATATGATCAGTCAAATGTGAAGACATTACAATATGATCAGTCAAATGTGAAGACATTACAATATGATCAGTCAAATGTGAAGACATTACAATATGATCAGTCAAATGTGAAGACATTACAATATGATCAGTCAAATGTGAAGACATTACAATATGATCAGTCAAATGTGAAGACATTACAATATGATCAGTCAAATGTGAAGACATTACAATATGATCAGTCAAATGTGGTCTGATCTGGGCAGTGACGCTGTGCTATCCAATCGATCAAAACGTCTTCCAACACCAGGCGAAATATTAAAGCAAAAAACAAGATGAGACAGTTCTGAATTTACCATTGACAAGAGAGTTCGAAATTTTTGACCAAAAGCGATTGGGCATCACTAAAGCTAAAGCTTCAACTTTGAAATTCTCTATCTGAAAATCGGCACTTCAGCATTTGTGTAATAATACTACTTATATAGCACGACAGCTAGATGTAATAGATCAGTGATGCCCAAAATACGGCCCGCGGGCCAGATACCGCCCGGCGACGTACTCCCATCCGGCCCGCCGAAACGTCGGCACAAAAATATAGAAAAATCCCCCATCCCTCTAAAACAAAAGTTCAAAATGTATCTTTACCTACGTTAGGGCCTTCACTTTTTTTCTAATGGATTACTACCTAGGCATTTGACGTTTGTGCGTTCATGCAATAGTACAATAGAATCTACTACTTTACTTTTTTTTGTAGAACATGATATTATTGCTAGTCAACATGTTTGTTGTTATAAAGAAAGTCTGAGGCTGTTTAAAAAAAGCAAAACAACATCATCACAATATAAACAGAACTTACGTCATTTTTTGAAGAGTAAAGAGAAAATTCAACCCTCCCAATACTTCACTGTAAGTACTAGATCCTCGGGTTTGAAATAAAATAGTTTCAGGTCAATTTCATTAAGTTTTTGTATCTTTTCCATCATGTGGCCAGCGACACTAGTGTTGAAAATTAAAATGGCCCGCAGATTGAATTAGGTTGGGCATCACTCATTGGCTCTGAATAGCTATGTAAAATACAGCAATCTTCCATTAAGCCTCGGATTTAAAGACCGTGTTATGTTTTGAAGACGTTTGATCTATTCAAACATTAGGAGATGGACA